ACGGATGGTGACGACGGGGGGGGTGGAGGCAGAAGTAGAGGGCAGAAAATCCACCCCCATAATGATCACCCCGACACGCGAAGCCGTTTAGTAGACGCACCCACAGAAGGAATCGAGCAGGGCTGGGCTGTTTAGTGGACGCCCAGGGCCGTATAGTAAACGCCTTGTCGGGTCTGGGTGGTTTTTCCTCCCTTGAAGAAGGCTGATCCACGCGAGGCAGCTGAAGCCTGTCGTCCATCGCAGTGAAGGCAGCCTCGGGCGTGTCGTACTGGGTGAGCACGCGCTGCTCGAAGTCGCCCAACCTGCGAGACACGACAGGCCACCATCATCCTCAGCCTCTTGACCAGCAGACGAGGACTACTCGCGAACACGGGCCATCTTGACTGCCAGCGTGCCAGAAATGAGGTTCCCAATCGCGCCTGCTGACACCGGCTCCGCTTCAAACAATACAAGCAGCTCCGAATCCCAGGGTGGCGCCTGTTTTCGCGAGGGAGGGGGGGGAAGAGGGGGGTAGGACCAGACTGCAGAGGCAGAGAGAGCAGAGGGGACAGGACCAGGAGGCAGAGGGGGAGGGCGAGCTTGAAGTGAAGTCAGAAACCGTAGGTAGAGATGCTGTTCAGCGAACCTGGGAAGAGCTCTGAGGGAGAATGGCCAGGGAACCTGAGGCCGTTGAGGGGAGGGGGGGCTTCTCGGGGAACTCGACGCAGAGCGGGAGACTTCCTGGGGAACTTGAGAACACTGAGAAGGGGGAGCGGTTGTTGAAGGAATTTGAAAACTGTGAAGGGTGATGACTTTCTGGACACCTAAAAGACGCGGAGAGACGGGAACTTTCAGAGAACTTGAAAATTCAGAGGAAAGCGCTTGAAAAGACATGAACCAGTGAAAGGGTAAGACGACCCGTGACACCGCTGAGGGTACGACCACCCGGGGATCTCGAGCCTGCTGAGGAGAGGAGAGGGGGGTCTTCTCAGGGAAGCGAAAACCGCTGAGGTGCGGCCTCTCAGGGACCCCGAGACCGCTGAGGGGTGAGACTTTGAACGAAAGGGAACTGTAAATCGGCGGTGGACAAGCCTCCCTTTAGTAGACATCCCCTTAGTGAAAACGGCCTGGGACCGAAACCGACGGACCTGGACCCGCAAAAATGACGAACGGCCAATTCCTTAATCGACGTGTCAGGGTAGGAGGTCTGTCCGGCCCCGACTATAAATGACTACCTACCAGACCACCCCAACCCAACCCGAAGACCCGAATTTCGGGTTGGGGGGGGTAAGGGTTCCATACGTGTTTTTTCGATGTTTCCCGACCCCCCCCAACTGGAAATCGAGGATAAATTGGGGCCTTCGGGTTGGGTTGGGGTGGTTTGGTGGGTGGTGATATAAAGGGCGGGCCCAGGGGGGGGGGGGCTCCGGGGGAAACATCGACCCGGAGTCCGCCGCACGTCGCCGATAGATTTTGGTGGATGCCACCAACAGTGGACACCCCAGCAGTCCTATCGTTGAATCTAAAATGTATTCATAGTGTCGGAAAAATGTTCTTAGCATGTTCATGTTAGGAGGATGTACAAGGAGGCGGGAGGAAGGGGGAACAGGGGAGATATGCGGGGCCAAGCGGACACACGCCTGAAAAACACGACTGTCGGCATGCTTCGCGAGAGTTGCTGCTGTGAGATGGGCTGGTGGGGATACGCGAAGCGTAAAGAATTTAAAATGTATTCATAATGTCGGAAAAATGTTCTTAGCATGTTCATGTTTAGAACATGTTCAAAGCATGCTGAACACATGTTTTGGACATCTGGGAATCATTGGGCAGCACGCTTCCTCTCCACTGATCGCCCTCCACAGCGGTAGGTCGGCGATATGAAACCCCGGTAGCGAGTCCGCGCGCTCCAGGGCGGGGTGGGCCTCCGGGCCCCCGTCGGCGATGGATGCGCAACTGGGAGCCGATGACCAGTCGACCCGTCTCGGCGGTGGACAAACCTCCCTCTAATAAACCTCCCCTTAGTGAAAGCGGCCTGGGTCCGAAACCGACGGACCTGGGCCCGCAAACACGACGGCCGCGGCGCCCTCCCGCGACCCCGAAAAGGGCCCATTCCTGCATCGACGCGTCAGGGTGGGAGGTCTATCAACCTCCGACCGTATCATAAGGATGCGCGGCAAGGATGCAACGGCCTTGGAGGGCCATGTTAAAGTTTTTCGAACGAGGCTGGCCACCGAAAGTCGCCAAGGATGGGCCGAGGGGGCAAGGATGCAAGGGTACCCTTGTCGGGGGCGCGCAAACATGGATTCGCGATCCATGGATTCGGCGCGCGGTCGCCAAATCCATGGATCGGGGGAGGTGCCCTCCCCAAAATGCGGCTGGTGCCGCCTCGTTCGGCGGCGGAAATCCGCGATTCCCCGTGGAAACGGGACCCGTCACTGGTCCGCGCCCCCTGGATCCCTGCTTGCGATCGCCTGACCTTGGGAAGGTTGCCCATCCTCACCGTGCGGGTTGACTGTATCCCCCGTGAGCCCGTTCCCCCCCCCGACGTCGCCCCTGGTTTCCAGGGAGCCCGGCACAGCGGGGAGGGGCTGGACGAGCGGAGGGGCCAAGCCCCGAGGGCGCGGGGCCGCGCTGGGGCGGGCGCCACGCGATGGCCTCGAAGCCACGCACGTGTCCCGACCCCTCCCCCCCCCTCCCTGCAACAGCGGCCGACGAGATCCAGGCACTCGGCGGCGAGCAAGGGGGGGGTACGTGAGAGGGAGGAGGCCTTCTCAGAAGGCGGGGCTTCTCCGGAGCTCTCGCGCCTCCTGAGCTGCCTGCGTCTTCGCGGAGGGCCTGGAAAACTTCTCGGAAGGCCCAGGGACGTCCGAGCCTTCTGAGAAGGCCTCCAACTCGTCACTTTCCCCCCGCCGCTGCACATCCACTGCCCCTGGCCAGGCTCGCCCAGGGTCCAGACCAGGCCAGGAGGGCCAGGAGGAGGAGGAGGAAGGAGGGAGGAAGGAGGGAGGAGGGAGGGAGGGAGGGAGGGAGGGAGGGAGGGAGGGAGGGAGGGAGGGAGGGCGGGAGGGAGGGAGGGAGGGAGGGAGGGAGGGAGGAGGAGGAGGAGGGAGGCGGCGCGTATGCCTCCCTGGCCAGGCCCGGAGGGCGTGCGTGATGCACGGCTCCCCGATGCTTGGCAGAGCCCGGCCAGGGGGCGGAAGGCACCTGCGCAGACCTCGCCGCCCTGCAGCAGGGCCCGACCGGCTGCGCGCGGCGCGTCGGCGAGGGCTCCGCGGAGCGGCGCTGCCCCTCGGCGGCGGCGGGCTTCGAGGCTCGAGCTTCGAGGGTCGGGGCTCGAGGCGGTGCTTCGTCGCTCTCGGCCTCTGGGGGGGGCGGGGATGCCGCTCTCGGGCCCGGGGGAGCTCGACGCGGACACCCACGAAGTCGGGAAGGAAGCTCTGAGGCAACGCAACAGAGGCACCAGTGAGCATCGTGTAATCGATCCTCACGTCCACGGGCGTGGCCTGGGCCCCACTGGCCGATGCACCCCCCTGGATGAGGATGCGTGCGGGCTGTGCCCTTCCAGTTTCGAGGGGCAGATCCCCAACAGGGTGGTGGGATGGTGGGGATCGGGATGGGGATGGGGACGGGGATCGGCTAAGCGATACTGAACGAGGGCGGGGGGGCCGTCGGGGGACAGAGACGACTGAAAGGGAAGCTGACGGTAGCGCTGGGGGGAAGGCACGAGGGCGGGGCCAAACGAAGGAAGTTGGCGGCAGCGCAGGGCGGGGACCAGGTCGGAGAGCGCCAACTAGTGGCGGCGCGCACAAAGGGGGTATGGAGAGGGGGGAAAGCTTCCAAGAAGGAGGCTGCTCCTTAGAAGGCGCCAGCCTTACATCTATGGATAAGGCTCGCACCTGCTACGAAGCAGGGGTGCTTCTGAGAAGTCGTCCCCTCTGCCCCGAAACCCCCCTCTGCGCGTGGCCGAAACTATACACCCTACACCCACGCCCATCCTGAGCCCAGGGTCGGTGCACACGCCCTCCTGGCCTGGCGGAGACGACGTGTGCACCGATCCTGGGCCCAGGATGGGCCTGGCCGTGATCGGCGTGGGCGTACAGCGGGCGCCCTTCGAGAAGAGGCCAGGGGCAGGCGGGAACTGACTACCTACCAGACCACCCCAACCCAACCCGAAGACCCGAATTTCGGGTTGGGGGGGGTAAGGGTTCCACATGTGTCTTTTCGACGTGTCCCGCCCCCCCCCACACTGGAAATGGAGGGCAAATTGAGGCCTTCGGGTTGGGTTGGGGTGGTTTGGTGGGTGGTGAGGAGCGGACCCAGACGAAGGGAGCTGGGCGGCAGCTCCGGGCAGCGGGATCGAAGGGCGCGGCCGAAGCGGATCGGCAACGGATCGTATCGCCGGCGGCCGAAGCGGATCGGAATCGGACCGCCGTACCCCTCCTGCTCCTCCTCCTGCTCCTCCTCCTCCTGCTCCTCCTCCTCCTCCTCCTCCTCCTCCTCCTCCTCCTCCGGCACTGGCTGACCCCGGCCGATGCCGGTGAGTCGGGCCGAACAGAACCGAATCGGAGTCGCAGCCCCAACCGGCGAATCGAATCCCATTGCATCGAATCGTGGGCGGCCCTGTCAGGGCAGAGTCTTCAGAAGCCAAATAACCTTTTGGGGCAAGCATTATTTGAGAATGTAATAACCCACGCCCCAAAAAAACATTGAGCCCTGGAATCGTGAGCCAAAATGGCTGGAGATGAGGACGACGATACGTCTACGGTTGTTGAACATCGCAGACGGCCGAAAAAATGCGCGGTGACTGCACGAGTCAAAAAAAGCTGTGATAAAGTACGCGTGCACCGAAAACTGTCAGTACGACACTCGCGTTGGCACAATCAGGCCGAGGTACACAGAGGGGGGCACGAGTACGAATAAAGCGGCCATAAACTATAACAGGATGTGCCGCCAACAAGTTCCATGCGAAAAATAAGCATACAATATTATTGGCTGGACCGATCAGCGCTCCACCGAGAGAACTACGCGAAGAAGTCGGTGACACCCTCCAGGCGCTTCAGTGCGTCGAACTGCCCTGTGGTCTCGTTTAGGATGCTCAGTATGGAGCTGAAACACCGAATGCTCTTCTGCGGCCTGCCGTCCGGCAACAGCTGAACCTTGTTGATGGCGTTGATCTGATCCATGCCCTCTAAAACTCTGCCGATAACGACATTATCTTTGTCCAACCAAGCCGCATTCTCCACGGGCGCCACGTTGAAGTCGAACGTGCCGCCCCCCCTTCGCATGGACACGGTCCCCGCCAACTCGTGCCGCAAATCGTTCGTCTCGGTGGTTTCCGTGTCGGGTCCGGCCAGCGGGACTTCCTCCGTTCGGGTCGGACGGAAGGGGGGAGTCACCAAGGGGGGGTCAGCGAAGCAGCTCGCGCAGCTCACTTCTCTGTTGGAGGCCTGGAAATTGGCACCAACACCAGCACAGGGGGTTGCCTCCACATGGGAAAGATGATCCTAGATTTCGGTGTTGGTGGTAATATTTCGGCCACCTTGGAAGCCAGAGCATTACCACCATCACCGAGATTGGGATCCTCATCCCTCGGTGGAGGCACACCGCCGATCTTGGTGTTGGTGTCAACCTCTGGGCCTGCGACAAGGGGGGGTCAGCGAAGCAGCTCGCGCAGCTCACTCCTCTGGCGCCTCTCGGCGCGGGAGGCGCCAGTTCGGGGGCCACGACAGGGGCGCACAGCCCAGCGGCAGGCACGACACGCCCTCGCCCAGAGCAGCCTCGCCGAAGGCACGGACCATCGGCGCCCCATGGATACATGGGCTACAGTCGGACCGTTGACCCAAGGAGCCCTAAATAAGGAACGAGGCCCCTTGTTCTCACAAGTTAAACTTCGATTCCCCATCGGGGAACCTCAGGAAAACCCAGGGCAAACTGTGAAGCAATCCAGGAACACCGAGCCCCTCCCCAACGAGAAGGGTTCCTTCTTCAGCGCCCCGACTGTACATGGGCTATTCGCCCCCATCGTGGCCCCCCAGCGCCAGCGTATCTTGGAGAAGCGTCCGGCGGCGGGGCCGGAACCAGCTGCACGCAGCAGGCTTCGCGCCCCCCCCTGCCAGAACCAGCCTAAGACGAAGCCAGGACGAGGATAAAGTCGGGTGGGCATACATCGAGAATTTCTGAGATCTGGCGGCTCCAGAGGATGTCTCGGGCGCCGCGGCCTTCTCAGAGCGATCCGGAACGCCCTGAGAGCGTTCCAGAACGCTCTGGAACGGATTTTTCCTCGTCCTAGCCCCGTCCGATGACTTGAGCAGGGCTGGGGGTGAGGTCTGCAAAACACCCCAGACAGACTTCAAGGGGCGCAACCAACCCGTTCGGTCGAGCTGAAACTGATGCACCACACCCGGCGTCAAGCCCAAAACTTTGGGCATGAGCGACTGGCCCTGGGTCCTGCAGGCCTCCGTCGGCTCAAGCGGCGAGGCGCTGGACCAGGAGGAGGAGGAGGAGGAGGAGGAAGGGGAGGATGAGGAGGAGGAGGAGGAGGAGGAGGAGGAGGAGGAGGACCCTGACGCCCCTTCTGTGGTGGCCCTGCAGAGGAAGGCGCCCTCTGACCCTCGGCCCTGCTCCACCCTCACCCCCCCCCGCCCCCCCCCCCCATTCCGTTCGGCCCACGCCCGCGGTGGCCCCACCCCTCCGCGGGGCAGCGGGGCCGGAGCTCCGCAGGCTGGGCCCTGGCCAGGCCAGGACGACGGCCGAGGCCCGCCCAGGGGCTCCGCGGCGCCCCGGTGGCCGCTCGACCCACCTTTTGAGAGGGCCCTCGCCCGTCGGCGGGGGCGCGACCACCCCCCGAGGAGCCCGGCGGTCTGCAGCAGGGCCAGCAGCGAGAGCAGGGGGGAAGCCAGCTGCCAAAGGCCAGCGCGTCCTCGGGCCTCGTGGCGGCCTGGCCGGGGCTCCGCTGCGCTTCCTCTGCTGCCCCCCTGCCCTGCGGAGGGTTGCGACCACCATGAGGCTTCCAAGTTGTTCGTCTGGACCCAGGCTTTGCCGTTGACTGTCGTCAGCCTCTGCCGTGTGAAGGTGTTGCCATCCTTGAAGTTGGCCCACGTGATCACCTTGGACTTCCTCGGTCCTCCCTCCTTCTGCGCTGCCCCATCTCCCTCCCTGGTCCCCCTGCCTTGCGCTCCCCCTCCATCCTCTATCCATCCTCCTACCTCCTGCCTCCTGATCGTTCCCACTAGGCTTTGGGAACACCCTGCTGGCCAGAACTCGCGACGTCGTCATCGTCACTGTCGTCTTCGCCGTCTGCGCCTCGTCGTCGTCGTCGTTGTCGGCGGCACGCCTGTTGGGGGAATCCTGCAAGACTGTGCTTCCCTGGCATGTCGGGTCGCCTGGGGGTGTAAAAAAGTAGAAAATACCCGAGCTTCGAAGGGAAGTGGAAACACCGGGGAACTGGCCTACAATGGGCGCAACTAAATATCATCATAACCACCACCACCCTCATCATCTTCATCATCATCATCATCCTCATAGCCCTGGCCCGAGGTTCCAGAGGCATGAGGGCCAGTTCGCTCCCGCGCGCAGCCTTCAATCTCCCTTCGGGACTGCGATGCGCGGCCCTTCTGATGAAAATAGTGCAATGGAACCCCATGTCACTGTCCGACTGTGACAGGCGATTGGAAGTTGCCCAGCAGGTGAAGTTCGCAGATATTGTAATGCTCTCTGGCACGACGGCGAAGAAGAATCGGGACCAACCCACCTACCATGAGATGTTCTATCATGAGCATGTTTTGATGCTGAAGTTCGGTTGGGGTGGTGGACGTGGGAGCCTGGCCAACAAAAGCTGTAGTGTGGAGATATGGCTAAATCGACGGCGCTTTCGACGTTCTCACCTTCAGCACTTCTGGCCAGTACAGAGTTCACTACACGGGCGTGTGGGAGCCATACGTGTGAAGTCCTCGCAGTTCGACCTCACCCTGATTGTGAGTTACTTCCCTCCGCGGTGCACTGAGGCGAAGGGCATCCCACGCTACGAGACTACGGTGCGCAGGCTTACAGAGACGCTGATGAGCATCACGGAGGGCACGCCGAACAGAAGCATGATTATTGCATCTACGGATTTGAATGATGGGATGGGCATACGATCATGTGACGGACTGCTGCAGGAGACATACAGCCCAAGCATTGGGCCCTTCAGTCGGAGTCTGGAACACTCGGCGGGCACCTCGTATCGTGAATGGCTAGAAGATAGCAATATGGCGGCTGTCACAAGCTTCTTCGCGTGCGGACCGACGTACCATGGACATAAGAGTGCGAGCTACATTGACCATCTCGCTATATCGGCGCCGTGGCTTGTCCGAGTTCAGAGATGTGCAATTGCCGACAGCCTCACACGTCGGGTACGAGCGATTCCCAGTGTTGCAATCCTGGATCACATGATCATAGTTGCAGAGATCGATTACAAACTCACGTTTACGGCGCCACGGACAGCAGGCCACACGTGGGATTTCTACACATTCAGCAAAGCGATGAGGAGCGAGGAGGAGGCGCAACTGTTCCGTGACGAAGTGGAGCGGGCCCTAGAGGCGAAGCTCACTAAGGACGGCTACAACGAAGCAGCTTCATGGATGCGAACACATACACTGGAGTCGGCGTGGATGGAAATGGTCTCCACACTTCAAAGTTGTGCTTAGCAACGATATGCCACAAGCAGGAAGGACCGACCTGAGTGGTACGTTCGTATGGTACGTGAGCGAGAGGAGGCTCTCCGAGCATGAACAGCTGCACGCGACAACTTGGATGGGGAGTTTGAGAGTGTACGGCACCGTTGTCAGTGTACGAGAAGATGTAAGGAGGCCAGAACGCGTCCACGACTTGAGCGCGAGTCTGACCTCACAGACCAGCTAAAGACAGCACTACGCACAGATCGTGATGACATGGCCTGGAGAGTGTGGTTTGAGATGGCGGGCAACGGATCGAGACCTCGGAAACGAAACATATATGTGCTACCAGACTCCCAACCAGACCTGCAGACCTGGACCGAAGACCTGGCGCTGGCAGGAGGTGAGGGGGGACTCGAGGCAGAACGCGTAGAACGAGACACCTTCATCGCACAGGCGTCGGAGAGGGACTTTCCATTATATCCAGAGATGGAGCACTGGACTGCAGCAAATACTGACCTGAGACGTTTAATAGAGAAGTTCTCCAGTGGACATCGACGCCGTGCCTCACCGCAGTGGCCCTTGCCTACAGAGATATGGTGCCGTCTTATGTCCTGTCGTGACACCTGCAAGCCTGGAAATGAGAGACCACAAGTTATCGGACCAGTTCTACAAGAGTTTCTTCTGGCACAACTTGCTGGGATACGTCAACACCAAAGATTGAATGCATGGTGGAATCTCGCTCAGACGTATCAGATGAGCAAGCTGAACAACAAACCTCGGACACGTGGAACACGATTGTTGCACGGACTTTGCAGATTTGGCAAGGCATGGGTGGGAACGCGTCAGCTACGAGCAGACCTGGAGCTACCGCGTGAAGATCACGGCTACGTATCAGGTCGCTCACGAGTGGGCGCCCTGGTTGTGGGAAATGTTCTACAGTGGCGTCTACGCGCAGCGAACCTGAGCCACATCACGACGAAGCATGACATGACGAACGCCTTCGCTAGCGTGGATCACACTCACTTGGACCAGACAGTCCTGAACATGTACACGGCAGAGGACACACAGGTTATGATGTCGAGGCACAGACGCACGGCCTGTGTAGTGAATGCGCACGACGGCGAGGGTACTTATCACAACAAAATGGGCTGTTTCATTGGCGATTCCGACGCCGCGACAAAGTTCAGGAAGGCGTTCGAGCAGCCGACCCAGGAGTGGAGGAAGGCGCTGTTCACGTCCTCAGCGGTGCACGAGCTGACGGCGGGCTGCCCCATCACGCAGAAGACCTGTGACCTTGGGGTGCGCAAGTACGCCGACGACCTTACCTGTACACATGTCGTTACTGATGCTTGCAGTGCAGCGGTGCAGGTCGAGACCTGAGATCGGCACCTCGATGCTGCGCTGGAATATGTGGGACTGTCCCAGAGCAGGGGAAAAAAAGGCGGTCAGCCTATGCTTTGTAGGCAGCGGCTCCCAACGCTCGACGCGTGTCTTGCATTATCATCGGGTGCCCATTGCTGGTGAAGTTCAGGCGACCTCTGTATTCCTGGGAGCGCGGACCCAAAACTCAGGGCGAAACGATGAGGAAATCAATGCCAGATGTGCTGCCATGCGTGTCGGATGGCGTGGGATGGGCAAATTCTGGAGGATCTGCACGTTCTTCGATCGTAAGAGGCTGGTCTTTCAGAGTCGAGTGATCGGGGCAGCGGTATCGGGCCTCGAGGCGAGAGTCTTGACTGAGGACCAGACTAAGAAACTCGACTCGACTGCTGTCCGCTATGCGAGTGCACTGTGTCAAGGAATCGCCATCTATCGTCAGCTGAACGAGGAGGGGGAGGAAGAGAGGTGGAAGGTCACCACGATCTGTGCGGAAGCCGTCTGGAAGAAGATCAAGGTGGTGCCCCCCAGCGTGGAGATAGTAGTACGTAGGCTCCGACACTATCAAGCTCTTGTTCGTAACCCGCACCGCCACGTCCAGGAGCTTGCGGCAGTCTTTGGGAAGGTTGCGTTTGAGAACACGGCGCCTCAACAGTTCCTTTGGGCCCCTACGTGTACTCCTACGGTGACCCCGACTGACAAAACCAACCCCTGGGCCCTGCAGTTCAAGAGCGACCTGTTCGTCATGGGGAGGCTCGACAACGGGCCCGAGTTTCTGGACGACGTAGGGTGCGACTTCCTGAGGGGCTTCCAGGTCCCCGAGCTGAGTGCCAAGTTTCTGAAGTTCAACTTGAAACGCCTGAGGAAGCTATGGTTAGAGGCCCCGACGGTGACCCCCACCAGGCAATACGAGGACCAAGAGTGCTTCGAGGGTGGGTAGCTTTGTTCTCTTCTCAATGGAGACGGTCTTGAGTGCGGGAAGGGGTTTAGGACGGTGCACGCACTACGGGCACATCAAACGCATAGTGGAGGGGGAGAGCACGGACAGCTGAACATGTTCACCACATACACTATTACCAATCAATGTCCGTCGTGTGCCTCTACGTTCGCGTGTCGTAGAACGGCCATAAATCACATCACAGCTGCGTACCGCCAAGGCAGATGTATGGTACAGAAGTCCACGCTCAACTACCCAGTCGTCATCCCGCAGCAGTTTGTTTGTCCAGAGGCGGAGTGTGCACTCGAGTTCTGTACACTAGAAGATTTACAGCGACACATTTCTTCAGCGCACCTCCCACAGCCGACTCCTAATGTCGTGGTTGCAGGCGCTGCCCGCTGCAGAGGAGGAATCCGCGCCCGCACAGAAGCAACGTCGCAGAGGAGGACCGCGAGGCTCTTCGGCACAGGCGGCAAACGGAGGCGTCGGGAGCCAGGGACAGAAGACGAAGGACCCGAAGATCGTGGACCTCAGCGAACTCGACAGCGGGACGTGCGACGTCAAGCAGATGCAGAAGTTTTCCCAGTAATGATGCGACGCATCCTCAACCTTGCGATGAGGCAGCGGCAGATAGAGTCCATCGAGTTGAAGACGTTCCTGATGTCCTCAGGCGTGCAGGTGGCAGTGAAGGCAAGGGCCCGTGTCAGAGCGTGGACCAAGGCGGCGGAGGAGGCGAGGACGACGCTGTCCAAGGAAGACGCCGAGAAGAAGATCAGGGAGATGGGCACGATCTCGGTGGCGCGCTACGCGGGTGTGTTCGAGGGGTTGATGGTCGAGGGCAACGCAGTGGGCCGCACCAACCAGCAGCAGCTGGAAGAGTTGAGCAAGCAGCTGAACCAGCTCACGCTGGTGGAGATGGGCGAGGCCGTGCCGCTGGCCAAGATCACCGACGCGCACGAGGAGGGGAAGGTCAAACTGGTGCTGAGCTTCACGGCGAGGCTCAGCTTCGCGCCAGTGCTTGCGTCGCTCGTGCAGGCGGGCGCGGAGTACAAGCGGGGTACCGCCCCCATGGGACACCTCGAGCGCTTGCTGCACACAGGATTGCAGGAGTTCGAGAGCATGATGCTGGAGTAGACAG